TAGGGAGGGATGGAAAACAAAAATGAAATTTCTAATGAACCTCTGTTATATACCCACAGTTTTACTTAACAGTATGTATTTCTGCAGCAGAGATAGCATTGTACTGAATTAATGTTTTCTTAGCTTGTATAAGAAAATAAGACTTGTATTTCTTGAGTTTGGAAAACAATTTTAAAATAACTTTGCAGGACAGATTTCTGTGGACCAGTGATCAAAAGATCTTGTTTTCTCTCAAGTAGAACTGCCTCTGGGCTATAGTAAGAATTAAAATGAGAAGTTCAATACTTGGTACATAGTAATGTCTTAATTTTGTTATTATAGTGGTTATTTTTGTATTTAGGAGTGAACCTTAGAGCCTAGCCCTGAAAAATAATAAGATGAATTTGTGATTCTTTTAAGCAGGTGGCTGTCAACTTTAGGTACATACTAAAACTACCTGAGAAACTTTTTCTTTTAAAAAACAACTTTAGGCTGGGAATGTGGTTTAGTGGTAGAGTGCTTGCCTAGCATGCATGAGGCCCTGCGTTTGATTCCTCAGTACCACATAAACAGAAAAAGCCAGAAGTGGTGATGTGGCTCAAATGGGAGAGTGCTGGCCTTGAGCACAGAGAGGCTCAGGGACAGAGTCCAGGCCCTCCCTGAGTTCAAGCCCCAGAACTGGCAAGAAAGGAAGAGAGAGAGAGGAGAGAGAGGGAGAGGGAGAGACAGAGAGGGAGAGACAGAGAGGGGGGACAGAGAGAGAGGGGGACAGAGAGAGAGGGGGACAGAGAGAACAACTTTATTTTCAATTTATTTTTTATTTTATAGAACTTTAGTTTTAATATACATTTCTTTAAAGATGTATTTTTCAATGCTTTTGCAATGCCATCTTGGTTGGTTATAGAAGGTTTCTACCTTTTTCCTCTGTTAAACTATTTTATTGTTATTATGAAGGTGATGCATGAAGAGTTACAGAAGTCAGGTAATAGGTACAATTCTTTGTGAACAATGTTTCCCCTTCTCTCACTCTCTCTTAGTTTTTCCTTCTTGTCCCCACCTACAAGTTGTATAGTTTATTTTTCAACATAGTAACTACTGAGCTGAGGAACTTTTTCAGACTCTCATGATTGAGATCATTTACATCAGAATCTCTAGGGGTTGACTCAGGTATCAGTATCTTTATTTATATTTTTAATTGACACATGATAATTGTACACATTTATGAGGGTACAGTGTGGTCCACAATGCATAATGTTCAAATCATGGTAATGAGCATTTTGTTAGGAAATTCCTCAATTGATTTCAATCTTCAGCTAAGCACGTCAGGATTAATTTAATGGATATCAGTGATGGTTACACATTAGAATCACCTTAAATAATCCCAGGGCCCCACTCCAGACAAATAGATCATTAGGTGGGCTTCCAAGTATCCATTATGTTACTTTGTCCTTAAAGTTTCCCTCATATAGAGCATGTTCTCTGTGTGTGTGTATGTTTGTGTGTGCATGTGCGTGTGCGTGTGTGTGTGTGTGTGTGTGTGTGTGTGTGTGTGTATGTCAGTGTGTCAGTATGGGGCTGGAACCTAGGGCCTGGGCACTGTTCCAGAGCTTTTTTGCTCAAGGTTGTCACTCTACCACTTGAACCACTTCCAGATTTTTGCTGGTTAATTGGAGATAAGATTCTCATAGTCTGTCCTACCTATTAGCACCTAAATCTATTATTTTCTCTTTTTTGGAGCAATATTTATTTTCTCATAGTTATGGAGTTACCCCCAAATTCCAAAAGACTCTGAGACAAGATGAATTAGCTGATACAAAAGGAAGCTAAAAGGGGGTGGGGGGCATAGTTCAAGTGGTAGAACACTTCCATAGCAAATACACAGCCCTGAGTTCAAACTCAAGTGTTGCCAAAAAATAAAGCAAGCTTAAAGGTTGGCTGAAATATTAATAACATAGATAGAAGTATATTTACAAATGCAGGAGAGGGAAAGTGGGGCAGAGTAAAAGTCTAGTGAGGAATTTGAAGATTCCAGGCATCAAGCCTTGGAATAAACCTAGAACAATGTTTGCCTCCTCAGGCCTGATCTGAGAATTCTGTTGACACAGACTTGGTTGTTAGCAGTCTTTCATTTCCTCTGTCAAATGAGTCACCTAGACAGTTGCTATCTACAATTTGACTGGAGCATTCATCTCTTTCTGGCTGAGAATACCAAACCAGAGATTTTTTTTTAAAGAAAGAAATGGTTGCCCTTTCTAGAAGAATTTTTAAAACCATTGCTTGAATTCAGGACTTTGTGCTCACTCAGCTTGCTTGCTCAGGGCTGGTGTCCTACCTGAGCCATGCCTCCAGTGTAGCATTTTGCTGGTTAATTGGAGGTGAAATAGCATAGACTTCCTATCAGGACTAGCCTTGAATTATAAGTTTCAGCCTTCTGACTACCTAGGATTACATTTGTGAGTTACTAGTACCCAGCTTTCCAGCAGCTCTTGTAAAAAGCTAAGTAATACTAATTTTTAAAAATTTAAGTTTGGATCTACAAATTGGTTTTAACTTCAATGGCATAAAGTCTAGGTTCTGGGGAAAGATGATGTTTAAAGGAAAAGTCTCCCATGTTCTCTTTCTTTGTCCTTTAACCTAGGGAAACTTGTTTCTCCTCTTAGCATCTATAGCCAGAAGAGAAATATAGTTCCCCTGAGAATGCTGCTTGAAGGATTTCACAACTTCAATATTAGTTTTAAAAAATTTGCTAACAACCTTCACAGCACCAACTTTTGAAGAGGCCGAGGCTTCTCAGAAAATAGAGTATATTCTTTCTTATAATCATGATGAAATATTACTCTGTGTTACCTTATGTGTAAGCCCTAAAGGTCAGTGGGTATCAGCTGTTCAACTTTCGTTCCTCCTCAAAGGCTACCTTTTTTTGGTCGGTCATGGGGCTTGAACTCTGTCCCTCAGCTCTTCAGCTCAAGACTAGTGCTCTATCACTAGAGCCACAGCACCACTTCTGGTTTTCTGATGTTTAATTGGGGATAAGAGTCTCACAGACTTTCCTGCTTGGGCTGACTTTGAACTGTGATCCTCAGATCTCAGCCTCCTGAGTAGCTAGGATTACAGGTGTAAGCCACGGGTACCTAGCAAGGCCACTTTTTTTGATGCTGGTTCTTGGGCTTGAACTCAGGACCTGAGTGCTGTCCTAGAGCTTTTTCACTCAAGACTGGTACTCTACAACTTGAGCGACAGCTCTACGTTTTCTGGTTTTTGGAGATAAGAATCTGACAGACTTTCCTGTCCAGGCTTGTCTTCAAACCATGATCCTCAGATCTCAGACTCTTGGATAGCTAAGATTTCAGGCCTGAGCCACCAGCACTTGGCCTCTGTTTAATGGTATTAATCTCTTTGACAACTGCATTCTCCTTGGTAGCACCTTTGAATGTGCCTCTTTTTCGTTCAAACTGCAAGTTTTATGATGTTTCTCATTCTACTCTTTTTTTTTTTTTTTTACATCTGTTTCTCACCATTTCGCCTAAACCAGGAAGTAATGCCTATGCCACTGCCATAATACTTGGCTGCCTTTAAATTTCCTTTGCCAGATAAACCAGCCTGACACCTTTAAACACAACTTTACACAGTCTTAGGATATGAAGCAAACAGTCAAATTTTGCAGTGTAACACAGGTGATCTTTAGTCTAGTTCCAAGTAGCAGCCTTATTTTCATCTGAAACCTCACAGCATATCCTTTACTGTCTACATTATTCTCAGCATCCTGGTCTGAGTTGCCACGAGGCCTGTCCATTAAACTTCATGTATGGAATTTTAGATTCTTTAGCCTACTTCTTCAGTCATCCTTAAAACCATTCCCAAAAGCTTATGAACTCTATGTTGTCAAGTATAGCTACAGCTATGACCCCACTTTTTGGTACTAGTTTTCTGAGTTAGTCAGCTTTCCATTACTGTGAAAAAAACAGATAATCAACTTATCTGCCCAAATTTTCAGTCCCTAAGAGTGTTAAAATAGACAACTGTACTCGTTCTTTTCCTCTCTGCAATTTACTAACTGCTAGATAAATTTTGGAAATATACTGCATGATACATACATGTTTATGATGGGTATATCTTCTGCTGTTCTTTGTCACATAAATTCTGTTTCATCAAATGTTATGATTTCTACCCCAGCTCTGTTTCCTCATATTTGCCTGGCATATCATTTTTCCATTCTATTATTTTCAACTTATTTGTGTTTTTATTTTTAAACATAACAATTCTAGCCCAAATACTGTCAACTATTTTGTTTTAATCCAGTATGCAAGCCTTTTAATTGGTAAGTTTAATTCATGTACATTTGTTAAATTACTACATATTGGGACTTATTTCTGCTATCTCATTTTATATTCTCCATTTACAATACTTTTCCTTTCTTTTTTTTCTTTCCTATTTTAATGTATTCTTGCCCAGCAACTTTTAAGATCTATCCTGTTATTTACACTTCTTGATTTTTTATGCATTGAATAGTGATACCTTCTGTCTAGCAAGATTAAGACTCAGTAGAGTCTTGGACTCTATTTTCTACCTACATCTATACCAGTAAACATTGTCTAGAATTTTGATTTTTCCTAGATTATATATGACCCTCTTTCATGGTTTTTTTCCAGTGCTCATTTAGGTCAAGAAAATGCAGCTTACCCGGGCACTGGTGGCTCACGCCTGTAATCCTAGTGACTCAGGAGGCTGAGAGCTGAGGATCGTGGTTCAAAGCCAGCCTGGGCAGGAAGGTCTGTGAGCTTCTCTTCAATAAACCACCAGAAAACGGAGTGGTGCTGTGGCTCAAGCGGTAGAGCACTAGCCTGGAGCTGAAGAGCTGAGGGACAGTGCCCAGGCCCAGAGTTCAAGCCCCACTACCGACAAAAAACAAAAAAGAAAAGAAAATACAGGTTATACTAGTTTGCCTATTTGGAAGGAAGTAGCATATGTCCCAATTTAATCCCAGATGGTAAGCCTATAATGATACTTTTTGTTCTCAACAGGTAGAGAACGTGAAATTACTGGATCGTTATGAGGGCAAGAAACCAATTAATGGAATTCTTTACCTTACTGCAACCCACCTGATCTATGTGGAAGAGGGTTCTTGTGCTGCATTCCGGAAAGAAACCTGGGTATGTTTGTGAGAAGAAATATCAAAGAGCTGTGTATATATGCCTTCTATATGGCAGTTTCTTAAAATTTAAGTAGCATTACTAAATTGCTATAAAACCTTTTCTTCAAATTGCTTATTCAGACAGTCCTTTGGTGGTCTGAATCTTAGGACTCCTCTTTCCTCAAGTAGTCATTCTAGACCAACATAGGGATAGTCCTAAGGTTTAACTCAAATATTTTTAGGTAGTCTTTTTTTAAAAAAAATTTGTTCAGTGCTGTGGAGCAGACCCAAAGTATTCAGTGTGCTAATCAAATGCTCTTTTACTGAGTTACTCCTCAGCCCTTACTTTTTTTGAGACAGGATATTGCTATGTAGCTCAGCCTGGCCTAAAATTAATGTTCCTCCTACCACTACCTCCTTAGTGCTTAGATATCAAGCATGTTATAATACAGCTGGCTTATTTTCATTTTCTGAACCCAGTAAGTGGGTAAACATTCTGTGGCCCCCAAACCAGCAGCTTTAATAATACCTGGAACTTGTTAAAATACAAACTTTTAAGCCTAAGGTTTTGAATTGCCTTAAAATTATTTTGAAGTACTAAGATTGAATTTAGAGGTATACTCTCAGCTCCTTGTTTGTCTGGGGTTTTTTGATAGGTATTCAATAGTTTTGTTCTTGAACTCCTGATCTTCTCCTCCTTCAGCCTTCTGAAGTAGCTGGAATTACAGACATGCGCCACGAGACAAGACTAACTACAATTTTGATTTTTTTTGCTATTTGTTTATATTTTCTTTAAGTACAAGGGAACTGACATTTTTAAAGATTGTCATTTAACAGTTTATGAATACAATTTTGAATTTCTAAAAACCACTTAATGATGTTAAATCTTAGGCCACTGGAATATACCTTGGACAACATTGATGTAAACTGTCTATACATGCAGGATCTTAACTGCATGCATGTGCCAATTTCTATTTTTAATGTTTTTTGAGTTAACATACACTAACAGTATGAGAGGAATTCACTGTGATAATTCCATACATGCAAACATGTTCTCCCCCTCCATTTTACTTCCTCTGCTCTCCTATTCCTCCCAACTTTTTCCAAACAGCTTTTGGTGGGTTTTATTATACTGTCTTCATATATATATATATGAAACCCACCAAAAACTGTTTGAAAAATGCTATCATAGTGTGTGTGTGTGTGTGTGTGTGTACATGTGTATGTGTACTTGGATACTTTACCTCCTCAGTATCCTTTTTTTTCTCTCTTAACTGGTCCCTCCTGAAAGTCCCCCCTTTACATTAATTTACCATTATTATCACCACCATTGTAGTTAAAATTTAAGCTCAATGAATGAGTGAAAACATGTTGCTTTTGACTTTTTGAGCTTGGCTTGTTTGGCTCAACATTATGATACTCTACTCCCATTCACTTTCCCAAAAGTGGCAAGAGTTTCATTTTTCTTCATGGCCCAGTAGTATTCCATGGTATATAGGTACCATATTTTCTTTATTCATCAGTTGTTGGGTACCACAGCTGATTCCACAGTTTTTCTATTGTGAACAGCACTGAAATAAATATATGTACATAGATGTCATTCGTGTATTGATTTTCGCTTCTTTAGATATAGGCCCAAGAGTGGTATAATAGGATCATAAGGAAGGTATATTTATAGTTTTGTGGGGGAACTTCCATACTGATTTTCATTGTGGTTGTACTAGTTTACATTCCCACCAACAATGTATAAGAGTTATTTTTCCTTGCATTCTCTCCAGTATTCTATCTTCCTTACACTGAAGTAGTATTATAATTCAATCTTAATTATTAGATTTATATTTAGACCTTTTCATTTATAACAAGTGTCACATGCTCTATACACAGGACATAGTCTTAGTGATTAAAATCCCATACTTTAAAATGTACGCATTACCTGACTTTCATAACTGTAACCCCTCTGTATATCACCTTTACAATAAAATTTAAATTAAAAAAGATCCCAGACTTTAGAATCAGTAATGGTCAGGTTGAAATCCCAACTTTAACAGTATTACTTTTGTAACCTTGGGCAAGTTATTTAACTTCTCTGGATTTGTTCCCTTCACTTGTAAAGTAGTGATAATAATATGGAAAAATTATAATGTTAATGTTTGTAAGTGCTTAAAACAATGCTTGGACCAAGTCTGGTGGTGCATGTCTGTACTCTGGAGGCCGATATATTGTATAAGCATAATTAATTGAACTTACGTAGTCTAGAAATACCTTTTTTTGGGGGGGGGAGGGGGTCTGGTCATGTGGCCTGAACTCTGGGCCTGGGCGCTGTCCCTCAGCTCTTCAGCTCAAGGCTAGCACTCTACCACTTGAGCCATAGCGCCACTTCCTGCTTTTTTCTTTTTGTTTATGTGGTGCTGAGGAATCGAACCCAGGGCCTCAGGCATGCAAGGCAAGCACTCTACCACTGAGCCATCTTCCCAGCCCCACTAGAAATATCTTAGTACTTAAATTCAGTAGGCATTCTCTTTTTTTTGGTCTTGATTTGTTTTGTTTGATCATGGGGCTTGAACTCTGGGCCTGGGTGCTGTCCCTCAGCTCTTCAGCTCAAGGTGAGTGCTCTACCGCTTGAGCCACAGCGCCACTTCTCAGTAGACATTCTCTATATGAGATTGTATCTTACTCCCTTTGCTGTCATGGGAAGAATGCTAGAAGAGGAATTTAGGGAGCCAGTACTAGCTTTGTCTTATGCTATCTAGCTGTATGGCCTTGCACAAGTGATTTTCCCCCTCTGAGCTTTTTTCTGAATCTTTAGATGAGGTCGTTAGATTATATAATTAATAAGTACTCTTCCAATTCTAACAGTTTTAAGAAGCAGTTCTTTAGTAACATCTACATATTCTCATGTTTCTTCCTATCAGGTATTTTTCAAACCCAGTAGACTGAATCTGGAAGGGAAAACAAATTACTTAGGCATGGCAAAGGATAATTATTTACCCAATTTACTATAATTAATGAAGTTTATTCCCCACTTTGAATGTCTTCCCTTTCCCTCTTCCCAATTTTATTGTTTGCCAGACTTCTGATCTTAATAGTATTTTACTAGCCCAACATACATCTCCTGTATTGACTAGTAGGGCTTTGATTTTCCTAAGATTTTATTTATTAGTTTCTATTACCATTACCAAGAGGGTTTTTAAAATAGTATCTCCAAAACTGCCACAACAGAAAATTAAATTTGACAGAACGAAGATAGGAAAGTCCTTTATTGAAATATGTACATGATTTCTACATCTCCCCTATTCTTGTGGATATGATTGAAAGATTTCATGGAAGAGATGACTTTTCCAAATAAATTTGGCACTGAGACTTGATAGGATGAGGAGAAGAAAAGCAACGTTGATCAGAAGGTCATTTCAGGGAGTCCTGACAATAGAAAGAACATATCTGGGATGTAGTTGCAGGAAACATTAGAGACATGGATAGTAGGATAACTTGGAAAGCCAAAGCATGAAACCATGACTGTTTGGCTGTTTTATATTATTTTCATATTTTATATTATTATTTAGACATTTTTACCTGTTTTCTTTGTGATCATTTCTCTCTTTCCCTCCTTCTCTCCCTCCCTTCCTCCTTTCCAAATTCCTTCCTTTCCTAGCATCAGTATAAGCAGGAATAATTATCCTATATTTTTTGTTTTGCTATCAGTAATCTTAATTCCAGCTCTAGAGATTTTAGAATTCTGACAGAAAGAACCCTGTACCTATTGTTACCCTGCATGGTTCAAATTCTATTCATGCTGCTGCTTGATTCTGTAAGGAATTCACTTCTCAGAGCTTTAAGCTAATAGCCATGGACACACTATTGATTATTAATCATTTTTATGCCAGTCCTGGGGCATGAACTTGGGGCCTGGGCACTGTCTCGAGCTTCTTTTGTTCAAGGCTAGCGCTTTACCACTTGAGCCACAGTGCCACTTCAGGCTTTTTCTGTTTACGTGGTACTGAGGAAACAAACCCACAACTTCATGCATGTAGGCAAGTACTCTACCACTAAGCCACATTCCCAGCCCCTAATCATTAATTCATAATTTGGTAGAATGAAATAAACCTATATTTTCCATTGTGGCAATTATTCTGTGATTTCTAAATTTCATCATCTGTGGCCACTAAAGCTGGTAATGTTGTATCTTTAAGGAGAGACAGATTTCCTAACATGGCAATTTGTTTGCCGTGTTTTACTATTGTTATACTTTTTTATAATTGAGAAAAACTCCATTGTGTATTGTAATGGATGGTTGTAAGCTAGAGATAAGATTATGTGTCTGTTAATACTATTACTATCACTGAAAATCAGATACACTGATAATGACAGAGTAGTGCACAATGTATCTTTATTTGTTTTTGTTTTCTGTTTTGCAGATTGCACTCCATCACATTGCCACTGTGGAGAAGTTACCTAGTACTAGCATGGGCTGTCCTCTGGTACTTCACTGTAAGAACTTCCGGGTAGCACACTTTGTTTTAGATTCTGACCCTGTGTGCCAGGAGGTTTATATTTCACTACTCAAGCTTTCTCAACCAGGTAGTTATGACAGCATTTTAAAAGAATTTTTGTTGTTATTATAAAAGTAATACACAGAGGAGTTACAGTTACATAAATCAGATGACTACATTTCTTTTTGGACAATGTCAGCCCTTCCCTTGCTCTCTCCCAGTTTTCCCTCCCATCCCCACCCACAAGACATCATTTTTATCATTTTATCTATCTTTTTCCCCAAAAAAGTTGTAATTGAAAGATTAGATTATAGGCTATAGAGTTAGAGTTTAAATCCAGGCTTTGCCACTTACCAGCTCCATGGGTTTGGGGCAAGTTACATAGCTTTTGAATTCAGCTTACTTGCTTGAAAAAGTAGAGTAAGTAAGAGTTGTTTTTTGTTTTTGTTTTTGTTTTGTTTTGTTTTGGTCATGACCCTTGAACTCTGGGTCTGGGCACTGTCCCTGAGCTCTTCAGTTCAAGGCGAGTGCTCTACCACTTGAGCCACTGCACCACTTCTGGTGGCTCATTGGAGATCAGAGTCTGATGGACTTTCCTATCCACGCTGACTTTGAACCACAAGATCTCAGCCTCCTGAGTAGCTAGGATTACAGGCGTGAGCCACTGGCGTCTGGCTAAGAGTTTTTGAGACTAACACATTCATGCAATTTACTATGTACTTAGTATATAGTAGATGTTTGAGATAACTTCCTTTTCGTGTTTCCCGTGGTCTGTGGGCTTTATATTTAGTCCACTGTTCCTATCCTTGCCTTCAGTTTCAGCTAGAAGACTTTATCAGAGTTTATCAGTTTATGAGTCATTAATGATATATTTATTCCTATTTCTTCCAGCCTCACTGTCTCATTCTAGCTTTTAGTCCTAGACAATTGACTACCTCTTGCTTTTAGTCTTTGGGATTTCCATGCTCTTAAGTTTTCCCTCTTATTTTCTCCTCCTCTTTCCTCAGAATACTTCCTCAGTACTTGCTGATATTTTATTTTATTTTTATTTATTTATTTATTGTCAGTTGTGGGGCCTGAACTCTGGGCCTGGGTGCTGTCCCTCAGCTCATCAGCTCAAGGTGAGCAATCTACCATTTGAGCCACAGCACCACTTCCGACTTTTTCTGTTTATGTGGTGCTGAGGAATTGAACCCAGGGCCTCATGCATGCAAGGCAGGCACTCTACCACTGATCCACCTTCCCAGCCCCTTGCTGATATTTTATTGACAGAGTTACCTGACTCTGCACTTTATAAGGCTCTGATCAACTTCTGTTCATTGCCACATAAATTAGTCAAATAAGCATCAAATTAATGTTGCATCTTTTGAAGGGAGGAAGAAAGTCTGACAGGGAGAAGACAAATGGTTATCAGCCAGAAGCTAGTGTTGGCCTGACAAATAGAATGCAGTTGTTAATGTTGTGCAATATGTCACAATAACCAGAGCAATTGGGACATAGAAGCCAAGTTTAAAATTTTTGGTAAGGTTTAGTTTCCTAACATGAAAGCTTCAGATCAAGTCAATTATTCATCATTATTCTAAAAGAGAGCTTGGGAAAGTTTTTTAATTGGTATAATATAAAAAATTAAAATATTTTAAAAGAAGAACCCCAAGCATTATTCCAGTTCTTATTCTTTATGTAAAAGCAGGCATGTACACAAAGCACTAACCTGTGGTGGGACTGTTTAACAAGCATTCCTTTTGGGATAAGGAAACCTTTGTTTGCATTGTTTGGTAGTCTTTAAGTTCTACTTATCATTACTTTGTTTCTATGTATGTTCTCCAGTGTCACCTGAAGATCTTTATGCTTTTTCTTATAATCCCAAAACCTCAAAAGGGGCAAGGGAAAATGGATGGAAACTGATTGACCCAGTATCAGACTTTGAGCGAATGGGAATACCCAACAGGTACTGGACCATAACAGATGCCAACAAAAACTATGAGGTAATTTGGGGATGGCTTTTATTCTTTAGATACATTTAATTAAAATGACAGCATATCAGCAAATATGATCTGGAAAAAAAGAAAAATCCCTCATAATTGTTTTTCATTGGACATTCAGCCATTCAGCAAGCATTTCTTTGGGTTCCTAATGTGCTCTCATGGTTTGAAGCATAGAATGCTGTGGGAGCCTAGATGGCATCTGTGAAAATAAGCCTGGTAAGCTAGAGACAGTCTGATATTTTGAGGTATTGCCTTGTGAAGACATATAGATATATATTTGTCAGACCTGGGGCTTAAAATCAGGGCCTAGGCGCTGTCCCTGAGCTTCTTTAACTCAAGGCTACCACTCTACCACTTGAGCCACACCTCTACTTCTGGCCTTTTCTGTTTATGTGGTACTGAGGAATCAAACCCAGGGCTTCATACATGCTAGGCAAGCACTCTACTACTAAGCCACATTCCCAGCCATGAAGATATTTTTAACATCCTAGTGCAACATAAAACTTCTTTTGTTGTTGTTGTTATTATTATTATTATACAATTTTACATTCCATAAGTCAGGTTTTGAGTATAATGCTTTTTAGTCAGTGTCACTATTTCCTTCATTCTTCTCCATTTTCCTCCTCCTCTCAGTACCCTCAAGTTATGTGGTTCAATTTTTACATAATATACATTGGCTCTTGTGACTATATTTGCTCACCTTCCTCACTCCATTCCTTTTCCCCACCCCAAATATTTCCACTTCCTGATTCATCTTGAAAAACACTTGTATTTCTCCCCTAAGGATACCATCCTTTAGTCAGTTTGTGTGTCAGTGAATTGAGCTTGTATATGTTATCATGCATGTTTGAATTTTAGATCTAGCTGTTTGTCTGTTTTTGCTGTTTGTCTCTCTAAGCCTGGCTTGTTTCTCTTGGGAAGGAATTTTATCCTCATTTATGCAGAGGGAGATAGGAGTTAAGAAAATGAAGCCAAGTCATGAAGGGTTTTATGGCCAAATTAAGAAATGTGAATCTTATCCTGAATTCAAAAGAGCATTTTGGTCTAGATCTGAAGAAAGAACCATGGGCTGAATATGGAAATGCAGGATTATGATGAGGGTTTCCAAGATCATCGCTTAGGACCTGTGATTCATTAAGCATTCTCATAGGATTCGGCATATAGTCAGACCAGTGACTATGATTTATTGCAGTGAAAGGATACAAAGAAAAAAAACAATTGTTCCGAGTATCAAATTAGGTCAACATTTGTGAACTGTCTGCCAGGGAAGCTCATAGAGACTCAGTACCTAGGGTTTTTGTTTACTGCTGTTCATGTGGGCACTCTACCTTATATAACAGCAGAATTCCACATGCCCAGAGGGAAAACAAATGTCCAACATAAACCACATTCTTTGATCAGTTATGGTGCAGTGGGGTCTACCTCCTGAAATCTGTGTTCCCAGGCATCTACCAAGGAAAGACCAGCTTTAAAAGTAGGCTTTTCTGCCGGGCGCCAGTGGCTCACGCCTGTAATCCTAGTTACTTAGGAGGCTGAGATCTGAGAATCGCGGTTCAAAGCCAGCCCAGGCAGGAAAGACCATGAGACTCCTATCTCCAGTAAACCACTAGAAAACCGGAAGTGGCGCTGTAGCTCAAGTGGTAGAGCGCTCGCCTTGAGCTGAAGAGCTGAGGGACAGCGCCCAGGCCCAGAGTTCAAGCCCCATGACTGACCAAAAAAAAAAAGGTAGGCTTTTCACTGGGTGCTGGTGACTCATGCCTAAAATCCTAACAGCTTAGGAGGCTCAGGTCTAAGGATTGAGATTAGAAGAGAGCCTAGGCAGAAAAGTCAGTGTGACTTATCTCCAGTTAACCATCAAAAAGCCAGAATTAGAGCTGTGGCTCAAGTGGTATAGTACTACCTTGAGCACAGTGCAGACCCTGAGTTCAAGTCCCAGAACCAGCACAAAAAAAGTAAGTAGGCTTTTCTAAAGATAGCAGTCAGGCCTATCTTGATAACTTTCTAGTTACTGTTATTTAAATTACATCCCTGAATTGTTACATTAAAAAATTATTTGCAACTTATCATACATAGTAAGTCGTTAATTGCAGTGCCTTTCTGGCAACACAGGTTTTGAATGGTCACTATGTATGAGGATTGATAAGCTGCCATTTAGAAAGACCATCTATGAGATGGCTTGTTAGGGTTATACTTGACAGTAATGAATAGAGATGGAGTGAGTTCTGTGCTCAGATATGTGTCTTAAGTCTTCTTGAATGAGGTCTGAATTATCTGTGTTAACCCTTTGAATATGTATGCATTTCTGAGCACAAAGGGCAGCTGCATCTCTGTGTGATTTGTTTCTGAGCACAAAGGGCAGCTGCATCTCTGTGTGATTTGTTTCTCCAGAGTCTGAAGTTCAGGTAAAAAGATTGTTGATGATTGTAGAACTTCTTTTTCAACTGATTTTTTCATTCTGGTGTCTTTGACTTTCATAATGAATTATAAAGAATATTCTTCATCTGAAGTATCTTGAAATACTTTTTGGTGGTGCCACGGTTTGAACTTAGGGCCTTGTGTGTTTGCTGGTCTGGTGTTCTATCACTTGAACCATGCATTCAGGCCTGATTTTTGTTTGTTATTTTGAAGATAGAGTCTAGAGAATTTTCCTGCTTAGCCTGGCCTCAAACTGTGATCCTCCAGATCTCAGCCTTCTGAGTAGCTAGGGTTACAGATGTGAGCCCCCAACACCTGGCTTAAATTCTTTCTGATATGTTGTCAAATGTTTGGGGTTATTCTTACGGGAATGATTACAGTTAACTTATGTCAAGTCTGTGATAAATTTGAGAAAATGTATCAGTCTTTTTTATAGACTATCACACCTAAAATGTCAACAATTTCACCTTCACGCTCAAGGCCTCTCAGGTATGTGTACTAGGAAACCATTGTGTAATTCATGAAAGAGTAAACCATATTTCCTCTTCCTTTTCCACCTTTATGCTTTACATTTTAGCCTATTCATTTAACTTATTCATTTACTTTACCTGCTATTTGTTCTAGTAGGCAAATGCAAACATTTCAGCATTGGCTTGTATGTCTTTCTGCATATATACATGTATATGTTATTCTAAAGGTACAGTTTTTCTTGTATGTATCAATGCCTTCCTTTTGGGGAAATAAGATACTTTGAAATGATTTTATTTTATTTTATTCTACTATTTCATTTCCTTATTTTTTTATTTTGGGAAACCTTTGTACTAATGATATTTTCTTTTTGCACTGGTTCTGGGGCTTGAACTCAGGGCTTGGGCAACTGTCCCTGAACTTTTTTTTTGGGGGGGTCCGGTAGTGGGGCCTGAACTCTGGGCCTGGGCACTGTCCCTCAGCTCTTCAGCTCAAGGCTAGCACTCTACCACTTGAGCCACAGTGCCACTTCCGGCTTTTTTCTTTTTGCTTATGTGGTGCTGAGGAATCGAACCCAGGGCCTCGAGCATGCAAGGCAAGCACTCTACCACTGAGCCACCTTCCCAGCCCCTGAACTTTTTTTTTTAAGGCTCATGCTCTACTATTGAGCCATAGCTACATTTCTGGCTTTTTACTGGTTAATTTGAGATAAGAGTCTCATGGACTTTCCTGCCCAAGCTAGTTTTGAACCATGATCCTCAGATCTCAGCCTCATGAGTACCTGGGATTACAGGCATGAGCCACCAGTGCCCAATACCAACAATATTTTTGTTCCTATTTCTGAGGAATGGATGACACTGGATGATAAATACCAGCCAACTAGTTGATGTTTCAGCAATTGCTAATCCTAGTCTGTTGGTAGCAAGTAATAAACTGTAAAATAAGATTTTCTTTTCTTTTAGATATGTAGTACCTACCCTCCTGATTTAGTGGTTCCTACATCTATTTCTGTGGACACAGTGATTGCAAGTTCGAGGTTTCGAAGCAGAGAACGTGTTCCTGTGCTCTCCTACTTCTGCAAAGAAAACAATGTGAGTTAAGTAGACTTCTCTAATAATTCACCTTGACTTTAGAAGACCTGGTCTTAAGTCTTACCCTGACAACATAGCTGTGTGACCTAATCAAATCATGTAACTTCCCTGGGCTTAAGTACCTCAAAAAGAGCTTTTGAGGGGTTTACGTGAGAGGGAAATATATGCGTACTTTTATAAACTGTAAAATGTTATACATGTTAGGTAATATTTTAGTTTGTTCTTTTTTATCTAGGTTCCAATATGGTGGGAAGTTGCAGAATGAAAAGGAGTTGCATGAGAGTATACTTGGGGACTCTGACCTCACACTAGAATACAGATATCCCTGGTTCTTTCTTATTGATTGTGTGTGCATGTACGCGTGTGCACACATGCACACACCCACATGCATATACATATAATAAGGTAATAGGAAGGAAAGACCTATTTGACTTCCTTTAACTAAGAAGTGGTAATAATTTTCACTTCTTATGATCATACTGAGCTTTGCGGCTAGATAGTTTTCAAGTCCTCAAATTAAATATTCCAGTGCTAAAGAATATATAATGCAGCCGGGTGCTGGTGGCTTATACCTGTAATCCTAGCTACTCAGGAGGCTGAGATCTAAGGATCGCGGTTCAAAGCCAGCCCAGGCAGGAAAGTCCGTGAGACTCTTTATCTCCAATAAAACCACCAGAAAACCCAAAGTGGAGCTGTGGCTCAAAGTGGTAGAGTGCTAGCCTTGAGCAGAAAAGCTCAGGAACAGTGCTCAGACCCTGAGTTCAAACCCCACTACCAACTAGAAAAGAGAATATATAACGTAATTTGGTGTCTGTATCAAACTGAGTGCACAAACTCCTTTAAAATACATCAAAGTATAATGAAGCTCATTAACTATTCTTCATGTTGAAATGGCCTGAAGCATACCAGCTCTCTGAGTTGGCAGTGACTCCTGAAAGTAGTAAACACTGTACTCGAAATCTCTAGATCATTACTGTGTCTTGAATTCTGCCATTGAAAGCCTGTTTTATATGAATCTATTATGGAGACTGTAAAAAATGGGATAGTTTCGGAAAAACAATGAGACTATTATGTATCAAGAATAGATTATTAAACATGCAAGAAGGGGAAACAAAGGAGGAGGCTACAATGCTTTATAAGAAATGTACGCATTATCTTGTCCATGTAATTGTAACCCCTCTGTACAGTATTTTCACAATAAAAAAAATTCTGATAAAAGATGTGATTTCTTTGTGGTCTGCCTTGCCAGGGCTGGTTTAAGAACTGGCCCTGTACCCAAGGGAAGCAAGAGACAAGAGGCTGATCCCAATGTCAGTGGAATGGCCTGCTTTAGAGCCACATCTCTCTGCTTTGCAAACTGTTGTGAGTTGGCACATCCTTTTCCCTCTGCTCACCAAGGAAGATTTTGACCACCTGTGGACTTTATGGATCAATTGACACATTTTTTTCCTTGTAGGCTACCATTTGCCGCTGTAGCCAACCTCTCTGTGGATTTTATGCTCGCTGCATTGATGATGAACTCCTGCTAGATGCCATTAGCAGAGCAAATCCTGGAAGCCAATTTATGTATGTTGTAGACACTAGACCAAAGGTAGCTATCAGTAACTTCTTTAATATCACTACCTCTTGCAGTCCTCCTCTGTGCATGCTGAGACTTGTAGTGTTATTGGGAAAGTTAAGTTTGAGTATGTGGGTTCATTATCTCAGACATGTGAAATCACTTGAGCAAGCCACTTGGTATACCTTTTTAAATTTTGTATTTGTGTTTTTAAATATAATTTTATTGTGATTAAGGTATTGTACAGAGGGGTTACCCTCTCTCTTTATGGAGGGGTTACTAAGTCAGCTAATAAATAACATTTCTTTTTTTAGAGAATGTCACCCCTTTCTTTTCTTTCCTCTAGCTTTCCCCTTCCATCCCTACCCACATGTTACATAGTTTATTTTTCACATAATGTATTGAATTGTATGATTGCTTTTGTTCACCCTTCCTCCCTGTGCTCCCCCATTACCCTCCTATAAGAGGGGGAAAAAAAGCAAAACCAAGCACCGCCAATAACAATAATAACAAAAAAACTTCATGTTTCCATTTCTTGGAATTCATTTTGATAAATAATATTTTAAATGTTCATAGGAGAGCCAGGCATCAGTGGCTCATGCTATATAATCCTAGCTACTTAGGAGGCTGAGATGTGAGGATCACATTTCAAAGCCAGCCCAGGTAGAAAAGTCCCCATGAGATTCTTATCTCCAGTTAACCACTCAAAAAAACCAGAAGTGGAGCTATGGCTCAAAGTGGTAGGGTGCTAGTGTTGAGCCAAAGAGCTTAGGCACAGTGCTTAGGCACTGAGTTCAAGTCCCACAACCAACCAAAAAAAATGTTCAGAGGAGTTACACCTTTGTGTTCCTCCACTAAGGATATTCTTTAGTCTGTGTGTGAATGCCTAGAGTCCTGTACAGGTAATCATGTCCAGTTATATTTTAGAGCTAGCTTCCACATATGAGAGAAAACATACACCGTTTGTCTCTAAACTTGGCTTACCTCACTTAAAATGATTTGTTTAGGACCATCCATTTCCCTCAAATGGCATTAGCCTTATTATTTCTAATGGATGAGTAATATTCCATTGTATATAAGTACCACATTTTATTGATTCTCATCTATTGTAGGGCATCTGGGATGTTTCTATAACTTGGCTATAGTGAATAGTGCAGCAATGAACATGGATGTACAAGTGTCTTTACCATATCCTGACTTGTAGTATTCTGGGTAGATTTGGTACACCTTTTTTTTTTTTGGTTGTGGAGCCTGAACTCTGGGCCTGGGCACTGTCCTTCAGCTCTTCAGCTCAAGGCTAGCACTCTACCGCTTGAGCCTGAGCCCCATTTCTGGCTTTTTCTGCTTATATGGTGCTAAGGAATTGAACTCAGGGCCTCATGCATGCAAGGCAAGCACTCTACCACTGAGCCACCTTCCTAGCCCCTTGGTACACCTTTTGTAAGTCCCTTGCTGTCAAATTAGGCTGGGAGATGGTATATTGAGCAGCCTGTCTTTGCCACATCAATGTGATCCTGAGTTAAAGGCTCATTGACATCTCATATTTTTCACTAAATATTTCTTAAGCAAGATTTTCAGTAGTTGCCTGTTGTAGTCTCTAAATTTACTATAAAACAAGAACCTCAATTTAGACCCTGGAAATTTAATACAACTATGTATCCTTCTGTGAATAATACTGTGTGTGTGTGTGTGTGTGTGTGTGTGTGTGTGTGTGTGTGTTTGTATATGTGTGTGTTTGTGTGTTTGTCCTGGGGCTTCAACTTAGAACCTGGACACTATTGGTGAGCTTTTATGCTCATGGCTATACTCTACCACTTGAGCCATAGCTCCATTTTTGGCTTTTTGGTGTTTAATTGGAGATAAGGGTCTTACGGACTTTTCTGCCTGGGCTGGCTTTGAACCATGATCTCAGATCTCAGCCTCCTAAACAGCTAGGAATATAGGTATGAGATACTGGCACCTGGCTGTATATAAGGTTTTAAACCATAGTTGGTTAACTCTGTTGTCTTGAGAAACAAAATTCAATAATCTGACTGCTACATGATTAACCAAAAAAAAAAAAAAGCCCCAAAACAAAACTGGTGATAGTAATGCGTTAATAGCCAGCACTATTAGCTGTGAAAATTTTTCCTAATTCAGGGAAATATAACTTGTATCTTGATCCCAGAGAATAAGAAAAGACCAGGGACATAAATTTTCCCTGGAATTCAGCAGTGGACAAGTGGACATGAACTTAAATCCTTTGACATTCCTAAGAACCTGATGCTTTTTGGAATTGGTTTATCTGTGATTTCTACAATGTGTGTTCTCAGACTTTGTCCCTTTCAAATCCTAATGTCATTGAAGATGAAGCCCTTAGATCAACCTACATATGAGCTTAAACTTTGCATTAATGGCTTGACCTTTATGTTTTTTTGGTTTGTTTGCTTTCGTTTTGTCTGTCATGGAGCTTGAACTCTAGGCCTGGGCACTGTCCCTCAGCTCTTCAGCTTAAGACAAGCGTTTTACCACTTGAACCACAGTGCCACTTTCAGTTTTCTGGTTGTTTATTGGAGATAAGAGTCTCACAGACTTTCCTGCCCAGGCTGGCTTTGAACTGTGATCCTCAGATCTCAGCCTCCTGAATAGCTAGTATTACAAGGTATGAGCCACCGGCACCCGGTGACCTTTAATACTTTGTCTAGTGCTATAAAAGATATAGAAGAATTGACTGTGACTTGTAAAGTTAGAAAGGACAGATTTTCTTTTATTAAATGTCATTTTTATAAAACCAAAAAGAAAAAAAAATATCATTTTTACAAAAGGCATCAGAAATAACTTGATGTGTTAACTGTGATTGCTCAATCATTGATATATAACCTAAGCCTATGCCAGGTGGTTGTGCTTCAGAATTGGGCAATTAGGTATGTGTGAAACTGGCTTGTAGCCTTAGATAGCTGTCTTGCTCCTTTTTTTTCTTTTTCTTTTTCTTTTTCTTATCTGTCATGGGGCTTGAACTCGACCTGGGCACTGTCCCTCAGCTCTTCAGCTCAAGACTAGTGCTCTACCACATGAGCCACAGGGCCACTTCTGCTTTTCTGAGTGGTTTATTCGAGTTAACAGTCTCACAGCCTTTCCTGCCTGGGCTGGCTTTGAACCAACATCCTCAGATCTTAGCCTTCTGAGTAGCTAGGATTACAGGCGTGAGCCACCAGCACCTTGCTCCTTTTTTTTTTTTTTTTTGGTTATTCATAGGGCTTGAACACAGGTTCTGAGCACTGTCCCTGAGTTCTTTTTTTTTTTTTTGGTCCAGTTGTGGGCCTGAACTCCGGGCCTGGGCACTGTCCCTCAGCTCTTCAGCTCAAGGCTAGCGCTCTACCACTTGAGTCACAGTGCCACTTCCAGCTTTTTTTTTCTGCTTATGTGGTGCTGAGGAATCGAACCCAGGGCCTCATGCATGCAAGGCAAGCGCTCTACCACTGAGCCACCTTCCCAGCCCTGTCCCTGAGTTCTTTTACTCAAGGCTAGTGCTCTATCACTTCAAGCCACAGCTCCACTTCTGGTTTTTGAGTTGTTAGTTAGAGATAAGTCTCATGGGGACTTTTCTTCCCCAGCCAGCTCTGAATCATGATCCTCAGATCTCAGCCTCCTGAGTAGCTAGGATTACAGGATTGAGCCACTGGTGCCCAGCCTCTGCTCCTTTTTGTGGTCTCTCACCAAAGCTGCCCAGGACTTAGTGGGCCCAACAAAGAAAATTATTTCCATTTTTGCTCAGGCACTATTCTTCTGTTTCTCCAAAGCTTGCTAACTTGCTTCAGCCATAACTATGTCTGACATTCTGAGCTTGGATAGAGTTTAATTAAGATTGTATTTTCTTTTTTCAATAATTGGGATTGAATTCAAAACACTCTACCACTTGACTCATGCCTCCAGCCCTTTTTACTTTATTTTTCAGATAAGGTGGTCTTATGATTTTTTGCCCAGACCAGACTGTGATTCTTCATTCTCTGTCTCTCAACTGAGATTATAGGCATAAGTCATCATACCTAACAAGTCTGTATTATTAAGATTAAATTACCTTAAAATATCAAGAGAAACCTTACTACACTTATGAAAAACTAAAGATGTACTCCCTTTTGAAAAACTAGAGTGGGTTTGTTCATATCCAATGCTAGGAACACACTTTTAACAGATCCCATATTCCCCTCCCAGTTTCAACAAATAAAGATAATGAAGTTATATGCACATACAAATATAGTCTGTGTGTGAAATATGTATGTGTGGTGATACTGGGGATCACATACATATGTGTATGTATTATGATACTTGAGATATAACCAAGGGTTTTGACATACTAGGCAAGCTCTCTACCATTTGGCTACATCCCCAGTAAATTATGACAGAATTAAAAATGAACAAGAACCTCATTCTTCTGGATAGCTAGATCTATACTGTTAGTATAAACTATATTGTATTGACAGAATTTGTCCTTATGAATCAGACAAACCTAAGGTCAAACTGTCCCTTAAGCCATTATCCTTATTTTTTTTTTTCGATTGTGGGGCTTGAACTCTGGGCCTAGGTGCTGTCCCTGAGCTCTTCAGCTCAAGGCAAGCACTCTACCACTTGAGCCACAGTGCCACTTCAGGTTTTTTGGTGGCTAATTGGAGATAAGAGTTTCATAGGGACTTTCCTGCCCAGGCTGGCTTTGATCCACAATTCTCAGATCTCAGCTTCCTGAGTAGCTAGGATTATAGGCATGAGCCACCTGCTGCGATTATCCTTATCTTAGGTGACTTTATTTACTTGTCTGAATTTCTTTTTTTGGGGGGGGCGGGGTCCGATCGTGGGGCCTGAACTCTGGGCCTGGGCGCTGTCCCTCAGCTCTTCAGCTCAAGGCTAGCACTCTACCACTTGAGCCACAGTGCCACTTCCGGCTTTTTTCTTTTTGCTTATGTGGTGCTGAGGAATCAAACCCAGGGCCTCAGGCATACAAGGCAAGCACTCTACCACTGAGCCACCTTCCCAGCCCCTGAACTTATTTTCTTGTGAGGATAATATTAATACCTACTGTGAGGGGTCTAGAGTGAAAATTAAATGAGATAATTTATATAAACAATCTAGCCCAGTGTCTAGAACATTTCAGGAGCTCAGTAAATGTGGCATCTCTTCACCTAAATTTTAACGTACAGCTGTTCTTCAAATCTGCCAGACAAAATTTCAGAGTATGTACTGGCACAGTGTTGCTCTCTCTCTCTCTACATTAGCCTAACCCATACCTGGATAGAGACTGATGTAACTACTGTTTTTGTTTGGTGAAGCAACACTCTTAGCAAACTTCCTTATTACTATCTTGCTGTTGTTTATGATTTTACATGGGTTCCTTTGACATTGATTTTTAAAGGTCAATGTCATTGTCAATGTGATAAAAGATCAATATTACTGTCACATTTCTTTCTTTACCATTTTGGCATTTTTCTCTTTATATGTGTAATTTGATAATATGTACCTTAATGTTTTTATGTTTCTTTCCAATAACATGAAAGCTATACCCTGTTCACATACATCTTCTTTCTGCCTTCTGAAATGTATAATACTCAGGGATGAGGAAACTTGCCCAGACAAAATAAAATCACTCAGTAATAGGATCATCATCATAGAAGGTTATCTTTTCCATGATTTTATTAATGTTTCCTTTCTGGAAATCATATTTATTCCCTACCCTGCCCAGTATTCTTTATATGACATAGAGATTTGGTGGCCACCACAAACTGAACATAGTGTTAAAACAGCTTTTGGAGCCGGGCATTGGTTGCTAACACCTATAATCCTAGCTACTCAGGAGGATAAGGTGTAAGAATCAAATTCAAAGCCAGTCCAGGAAGCAAAGTCCCTGAGACTCTTTATCTCCAATTATCTCCAATTTGGTAGAGCACCAGTCTTGAGCAAAAAACTAAAGGACAGTGCCCAGGCCCTGAGTTCGTTATTGGCCCCCAAACAAACAAAAAAAACTTATGGTGTCTCTATTTTATTTTTATTAGCAAGAAAAGGTTATTTATGTATAGAAGTCATTTTAGATATTTTAATTTTTAGACATCTGTGTAGAGTTCCCAGTTGTGAAACTTTTTAACTTTTGCATGTTTCTTAGTATTCTTGTTCACTGAAACCAGGCACTGGTAGCTCACACATCTAATCCTAGCTACTCAGGAGGCTGAGATTGAAGATAACAATTTGAAGACAGCCCAGACAGAAAAGACTGCAAAACTCTTGTCTTCCATTAACCAGTACAAAATCTGGATTGGAGGTTGTATCTCAAGCAATAGCATGCAAATCAGGAGCCAAAAAAGCTGAGCAAGAGGGCTGGGAATGTGGCTTAGTGGTAGAGTGCTTGCCTAGCATGCTTGAAGCTCTGGGTTTGATTCCTCAGCACCATATAAACAGAAAAGGACAAAATTAGTGCTGTGGCTCAAGTGGTAGAGCCACTTGAGCACAGAGAGGCTCAGGGATAGAACCCAGACCCTGAGTTCAAGCCCCACAACTGCCCCTCCCCCCCAAAAGATGAGCAAGAGCATGAGGCCGAGTTCAAGCCCCAGTATCAACCTCAGAAAAAAAGTTGCTCCACTGAGAAAACACTTGTGATAGGCAGCTTAAATTATTATTCCAGTTGAGATTAGATGTCTTCATAAATGCCATATACTTCATCTCTGAAGCTGGACATTAATAATAAAAATATCAGTCTCCTTTTTCCTTTTATCAGTCTTTTTACTTGAGGTACCTAATGTAATAACCAATGAAATCCTTTCATTCAAGAATGAACCCTGTATGCTTCAACTTCTTTTTAAATGAATAGAATTTTAAACTGTTTAGAATGAAGCCCTGAGGTTGATTAACCCCGTTCTTTCATCATCTGGCCTATTTGCCCTGATTATGATCTCCACTATTACAGCTCAATGCCATGGCCAACCGAGCAGCTGGGAAGGGATATGAAAATGAACTTAACTATACCAACATTCGCTTCAGGTTCTTGGGCATTGAGAACATCCATGTGATGCGGACCAGCCTACAGAAACTCTTGGAAGGTACAGGGGTTTCATCTTGGCTAAGTCAGAGACCATAATATTGCATTAAGCACAAATCATGCCTGATTTGGGGTGGAACAAAAAAGCCAGCAGGTGAGCAGATTCAATCAATAATCAGGTGTTTAACTGTAGTATGAACCTAGCTTACATACTACAGAATTATAGCAGTATTGGTCTGGCAGAGAGACCAAGACATTTTATTTCCATAACTTGGTAAAGTACATACGAGTCTAGTTCTTGGGGAAACAATTTCTCTTTATAGAATTATAGTCAAATATTCAGAGTGGGTAGACCAGTATAAGTGTTAATTGGGGATTGAATTCATCATCCTTAAGGTAAGAAATCACCTTGTATAATCAGCTATAAGAAGTCAGTCTGTCACTGTGCTGGGATCAGAATGGGAACAAGATGTATGGAACCTATAGGACTCTTGGATTTAGAACATTATTCTCAAACCACTTCCCAAGATTCACTTTCCTGCCAACTCAGGAAAAGATAGTGAAAACTTACCTTCTTTATTAATAAGCTCTTTCTGTCTTTTCTTCATTTTTATACAGGCATAATCTACAAAGTACTCTCCCCTAGATATACCTTGTCAGATTTTGCCTCTTCAATCTGAATCCCTTTTTAGGATATTGAGTGTGCCTTTTCTTGAGTCTCTTCTCACTTTCTTTTGGCCTTAAAATATTCTATAAGAGGAGACTTTGTTTTACTAAATTTTTTGAGGCAAAATGTTGCCCTCTGCTGGATGACTGAAAGTACATGAAAATTGACATTTCTTTTCAAACCAAACAGAGCCATAGGGCATAATAAGCAGAGCTATAGGAGTAGAGACAGATGTTAGGGGCCTGCAGAATTAGAATGTGTGGGTGGGATGAGTGTGGGATCAAATATGTTTTCTAATCGAGGAGTTATGAGCATTTTTCTGTAGGTGTTGACTTAGTTTTCAAAGCATAGGCCCACAATGCAAAGTGTGCCTTTGTCCTATGTTTGACCCATCGTATGGTTTCTACCTAATCATTTAATGTTTCTCTACCTCCACTTCCTCATTTACAAAGTGAGGATCATTTTCTTCCCTTTCTTGAAAAATGAACTGAGGTGCTTGTCAATTTCAATCTCTGCTTCCTTTTCTGCTTTAGTTTGTGAATTGAAAAACCCAACAATGAGTGAATTTCTTGTTGGCCTGGAGAGCTCAGGGTGGTTGAGACACATTAAAAGTATTATGGAAGCTGGAATTTTCATTACAAAGGTAATAATCAGGACTTTTAAGAATTTGCACTAACTTTAATTATGGGATCTCTTAGTAATAATGTATCACAGTGGAAAGAATATTAAAGAGAAACAGGTTTTTCCCTATTCACTTCTGCAACTAATTACTGTGTGCCCTTAGACAAGTCAGCTTTTCTGTCTGTAAAATAAAGTGGCTAGGCTAGAATCTACTATAACTTCTGAGGAACCCACAGAACTCTTTGTGAATATGATTATTCCTCTCCCCCTTGGAAAATGCATATGTGATTATAGATAAAGAAAATGGACCTCAATTTCAGGGGCACCATAAACCCTGGACCTCAGTTTTAAAACCCTTAGGTGGTCTGTAATGGTTATTCTAGATCAATTACTCCGACTTTTTTGTGTTAATTCTAAGGTATCAAATGAAAGTAAAAGTGGATGTAAAATAAATATCCTCTGTATCCTTTATTTGAATTGTTTTTGCCAATAGGACTTGAATTCAGAGTGTTGTCCTTTACTTTTTTGCTCAAAGCAAGTGATCTACCTCTTGAACCACACCTTCACTTCCAGCATTTTGGTGCTTAATTGGAGATGAGTCTTACTGATTTTTCTTCTTGGGCTGGCTTTGAACCCTGATTCTCAAATCTCAGCTTTCTGATTAGTTAGGATTATGGATACGAGCCACCAACAACCCAGCTTATTATGTGATTGTTTTTAAAAAAGGAAAGTTAGAATATACATTTTCTCATTTTGAAGCTTTGTTTTTATGTATTCCTACATGAAAACTTTCACTCATCCTTATTTGACAGAAGTAAAGAATGACTTTTTAGCCCCTATGCTATTTTCTTACTTAATAGCAATAACTTCTGGCTTAAAAGGTTTGAAAGGAGTATGTGTAATTTATTGTTTTAAATATCCAACTTTATTTCCTTATGCTTTATGCTTTTCCTAGGCCTATTGCCTATACTTTTAATTGCAATGTGATATTGCTATGTGACTTTGTTGGTTGTTTTAGGCCTTTTTTTCATAACTCGTGCATACTGTTCTTTTTATTATATTCTGTACCCATATATCATACCTCCTCTCTGAAGCTAAATTTATTAGACCAAAGACAATGAGCATGGAGAAGAGGGCAGTTTCATAGTGCAAGCTCATATGAGTGTACCAAAACTGAAACCCCATTCCATCACCACATATCTAGTATCCCAAGCTGAAATACCCTCAGTCAGCCTTAAAATTTCCCTCTTCTCCTCCAACTGGCAATTTCCAAGCCCTATCAGTTCTCCTTCAAAAATGTTCCTTAAATCTATCCTTTCTTCCTAGTTTCTGCTGCTCCTTACCTAAGGTCATTATGGTCCTTTCCCTAAGTACTCTAATAACCCCCTATCTTCTTGTGTCCCCAGGTGAATGCTCCTCAGTTAATTGACTTGCTTGAAAAGTCATTTTTCTTTCTTTTTTTGCAGGAGGCAGAAGTACTGGGTTTAAACTCAGAGCCTCACACTTGCTAGGATGATGCTCTGCTACTTGAGTTATGCCTCCAGCCCTGTTTTTTGCTGGTTATTTTGGAGATGGAGTCTTGTGAACTTTTCTGCCTGGGTTGCCTTTGAATGGTGATAGTTCTTCAGATCTTAGCCTATTGAGGAGCTAGGATTTCATCCATAAGCCACTAATACTTGGCTTCATTAATGTGTTGTGCCATTACTTTAAGCTAAACATCTTTCAGTGGTTCCCTTTTTTCTTGCCCATAAAACTCGGCACCTTTGGATATTCATTCTTTCATAGTCTTAACCTAACAGCTAGAGAGGACCTCTTGCTACTCTCTAACACAATGCTTCTTTTACTCTTTTTAAAAAGTTTTATTTTTTCTCATTATAAAAGCAACATGCATATTCTAAGAAACATTTCAGAAAAATAAAACATAAAATTTAAACAAAGCACACATTATGCTTCATCTTCATGCTTGATCAGAACTGTCCATGTTTGAACTTTCTGTGATGATACAAATGTTCTGTATCTGTACTAATAGCTACTATCCATGTGTGACAGTTTTGGGCACCTGAAATGTGGCTAGTAAGACTGAAGTTTAAATAGCTATAGGTGGCTAATGACTTCATATTCGGTAGTACAGCTCTAGAGTTTTTCAACTCTTATACTTTATTGTACAAGTACTTTGTAAAAATTGTGTACTATGGAAACTCTTCTGCAACTGACTTATTTATACTTTATGTATAATTAATAGTTTTCACATCACTTGAGTCAGTAGTACCTTATTTTTTTCAGTGCCTATATAATATTCCATTGTGTGAATTCACCATAGTCTCTGTTGGTAGAAAATGCAATTTGTCTCAGTTTTTTTAAACTAATAAGAATTGCTCTGTGTGTGTGTGCATGTGCGTGTGCGTGCATGCGTGTGTGTGTGTGCGTGTGCGTGTGTGTGTGTGTGTGTGTGTGTGTGTGTGTAATGGTCAGACACTGGTGGCTGTAATCCTGGCTATAATCCTACCTACTCAAGAGGCTGAGCTCTGAGGGTTGTGGTTTAAAGCCAGCTTGAGCAGACAAATCCAAGAGATTCGCTCCAGTTAAAAGCAAAAAGCCAAATGAGAGCACTCAGACGCCGAGTACAAGCACAAGCAAAAAAAGTACATGTATATCTGTAGGTATTCCTAAAAATGGACTTTCCAAGTCAAAGAGTGCAGGTATTTCAAATTTTAATGATGAGGCCAAATTGCCTTATAAACAGTAATAGTTTTGATGGCCCCCTAACCATCCTTATTTTTCCACATTCCTGGCAATGGATATCATCAGTCTTTTAAATCTTTGTCATTGTTACTAGTGATAATTTTATATACCTTGTTTTTAATTTATGCTTCTTTTTCTTAATAAAAATGAGCATCTCTTTCTATTCACTTTTCACTTTCCATCCATTTGGATTTCTGAAAAGTACAGTTGCTGTCAGGCTATTGCTGAACTGAGGAATTCAAAATGTTGAAAACTCATTTCCCAGATTTCTTTAACTCCTTTCTTATCTGCAACCTAACTACCCTCTAGGATGACCATTTTTCTTTCTTTTTTTACTTTCCTGCCTAGGCTGGGTTTTTTGTACATTTTTTTATTGTAAAAATACTTTACAGAGGGGTTACAGCTACATGAGTAAGGTAATGAGTACATTTCCTATCGGTGTTGTTACCTCCTCCTTTGTTTTTTCCCTACCATCCCTTCCCTCCCCACCTCCCAACTTCTCCCTCCCCACCCTCAGAAGTTGTAAAGTTCATTTTTAACTTAGTGTTTTGTACATCTCATTGTTACAATGGGGGATGACCATTTTTCTTGCATTGCTACTACTAAGAACATCAGGACCTAGTGCAGGTTCAGTATTCTTGCTCTGGCCTAAACTTTTTCCTCTTTTCAGGTCTGTGCACCCTTCCTGGTTGCTCTCCCTCCTCCATTACTTTGAGGTTGGCTTTACCTCCTTCTTCTCCATGCTGATTCTTCCCTTTAGCCCACAAGCTTGGAAGGACCATGTCTAGCTTGTTGAGTGAGAAGTGCTTGAAGCTTGGAGGTTTTATATTCCAGCCCTTACATCCTTACTCCAGAGAGCAGAGTTGTGTAATCCCCAGGAAATCTCTACACTTTCAACTAATCTTGTAGTAACTTGTACCTTCCATCTTGAGCTTTACCCTTCCACTCTACCTACCCTGCTAAACAGAGTTATTTTCTTTTATGAAATTAATATACATTAGCCAGGTGTCTGTGGTAGCAACATTAACCAGGTGTTGGTGGCTAATGCTTATAATTCTAGCTACTCAAGAAGCTGAGATCTGAGTATCAAGGTTCAGACCCAGCTGGTATAGGAAAGTCCTTGAGAAGCTCTTATCTTCAATTAACTTAAAAAAAAAAAACAAAAATGGTACTGTGGCTCAAAGTGTTTGAACACTAGCCTTGTGCACAAAAGTTCAAGGACAGTGCCCAGACCCTGAGTTGAAACACACACATACACACTAGCATACATAAGCCAGGTGATGTTGCTCACACTTGTGATCCTAGCTACTCAAGAGGTTGATTGATATTTGAGGATCAAGGTTCAAAGCCAGCCTAGACATGAAAGTCTATGAAACTCTTATGTCCATTTAACCATGAAAAAGCCTTAAGTGGCACTGTGGCTCAAGTAGTAAAGTGCTAGCTGTACACAAAAGAGCCAAATGATAGAAACCAAGCCCTAAGTTCAAGTCCCAGTACTAGCAAACATACACACACACACACACACACACACACACACACACACAGACAAATTAGCGTACATTAGTTGTGCAAGATGGTTTCATTGTGATGTTTTCATACACGCCTACAATATAGTCTTATGGAATGCCTACAATATAGTCTTATGAAATGCCTCCTCTAATATTCTTCCTTACCCTGTTCCCTTCATTGTTCTGTTGTCATACATGCAAACCAAACTACCCACCCTCTTCATCCTCATTGACCCTTTTAGTTTAGCCTTCCCTCTTTCCTCTGATACCCATACCCCTATCCCAGAGCCATTTATTGCTCCTGTATCCTGATTAATGAGCATTTCTGTACAGAAATAAATCTACATTCACATTAATTGGTTCTGTAACAAGCTTATGGTCTCCAATCATAGCTGAAGTCTTGGGATCACTTAGCAGTTATTTGGCATGCCCCTGGTTGGGTTTCAGTCGTGTGCCACCAAGTAGGTATTCCTAATCTGTACTGCGCTTTCAAGCTGGCTACCTACTGTTGGTAGCATATATTCATTCTTGTCTCCTGTGTCATGGAAAATCAAGGTGATATCTTATCTGCCCACTGTTTCTGTTTGTTTTGTTTTGTCAGTCGTGGGGCCAGAACTCTGGGCCTGGGCACTGTCCCTCAGCTCTTCAGCTCAACCCTAGTGCTCTACCACTTGAGCCACAGCACTTCTGGCTTTTTCTGCTTATATGGTGCTGAGGAATCGAACCCAGGGCTTCATGCATACCAGGTGGTTTTAAACTCAAGGCCTCATGC